TCTAGACCCAGCATCTACTGTAACACTTCTCTCTAGACCCAGCATATACTGTAACTCCTCTCTCTAGACCCAGCATCTGCTGTAACACTTCTCTCTAGACCCGGCATATACTGTAACTCCTCTCTCTAGACCCAGCATCTACTGTAACACTTCTCTCTAGACCCAGCATATACTGTAACTCCTCTCTCTAGACCCAGCATCTGCTGTAACTCCTCTCTCTAGACCCAGCATCTACTGTAACACCTCTCTCTAGACCCAGCATCTACTGTAACACCTCTCTCTAGACCCAGCATCTACTGTAACACCTCTCTCTAGACCCAGCATCTATGTAACACCTCTCTCTAGACCCAGCATCTGCTGTAACTCCTCTCTCTAGACCCAGCATCTACTGTACCTCCTCTTCTCTCTACAGACCTGGCATATACTGTAAGGCTTTTTTCCAGGCCCAGCATATACTGTAACTCCTCTCTCAGGCTTTCCAGTTTGTATTGAATGAATTCAATGAACTCATATGCTCATAGTATGAGTCACACCAGAATATAAAGAACAATTTACTCATTTAGCACTCAGCAACCAACGTGTGTTTTTTAAGTTTCCACTTATGAGGTTTGCTTTTCATAACTTCCTGCACAACAATCAGCTGTTATATTAACCTTCTATACCTCAATAGTTAATTTTATTTGTCTCTTTTTAAAACATTTATAATTTATTAATTAAATTAAAAACTTCTTCGGACAAAAGCAGAAGGAACACCTTTCAGTGTCTGCGACTGAAAGAATTCAAGAGATATGATTGGAAGTTGGTTTCATTTGACGGCTGTATACCTGGCAAATGTTAACACCATTTTAGTACATTATGTTGTTAAAAAAAAGGTGTTAACATTTGCTAGGTACATCTCTGTGGCTTAGAGGTGAATAAAAGTGTTTAACATTGTCATGATCCTCAAGCACGTTTCATTTTGGTGGTTTATTAAAAAATATATTTTTTTTTTTTTTGAAATTCTCATTGTGTTTCAAACAATGATACAAAAGTTGCCTCCTGGAAGAGATTGGGAGCTCACCACCCAATATTCCTAAAGATTGTGGTGGGCAGACTGTACCCAACATTGACTGTGGTGACAGCACACACACAGTGTTTTTTTTTTCTCCAGTATATCATCTCATTAGATGTCAGCTCTGTAGCTAAGTTGATGCGAACGCTTCGTAATGCCGGGATTCCAGGTTCAATCCCAGCTGCAGGCCATGCGCCTTGTTTTGGTTTTGACAGTGGTATCAAGAAAGCCGACCGTCCAGAAAGCAATGGCAAACTACTGGATGTTAATTTACCTAGAAAAACTACACAATAGCCATTGGCTGTTGGGGTTGGTTTTGCAACGCCCTGTAAAGGATACACAACTAACCATCTCATTAGGCTATTTATAAATTATTTCATTAATAACAAGGACATTTGTCATTAATAATCACATCACTGTTTTAAAAAACCCAAGTGCTTTATAAAGTGCCCTGCACTCAGCTCAACGGAAGTTCGGGATAGTTTTGGCTTTCTCCCTAGTCTCAACTAAACTACTTTAATTAATTGCCTCACAGGAATTAGTAACTTGAGTTTCTGAGTAATACGTAAATTTATTTATTTATCAATTTAAACATTTTAGAATAACATGTCTCAAAGTTACCAGTACGATGCATCTAACTCACTATGATATATCATTTCTGCATCTTGACATACTATACGTTTTCCTCATTCGGCGCCAGAAGGATGTACCGATGGAACAACAGAGAATGAGTCAGAAACACAGTTAACAGCATACGACTTAGTCATGCATAAGCGTTGGCTAGTGTAAATACAGAAAAGCAGTAGCCACGACAACATAGCCTAATCTTCTGCGTCCATCTTACCCAAACATTTTTTTTTCACTGGCCCGCTGTTAAAACCGCATAAAGCCAGCCAACACACATATCAGTCCAGCAGGATTAGTTTGTTACTAGTACTCTGGTCCTCATTATAGTTTGGCGACCGTGGTTATGTTTGAGGATGTCATAACACGCAACACCTTTCTCCAACAGAAGTGCTGCCCTCCTGCACAGGAGGAGCGGGAGACGACTCGCAGCGAGAAGTGTTGCAGACGGCGACACACCAGGCACACACTAGCGGCCCTTGCAAAATGATTTCCTTTATTTCTGTCTGTTCGCGTTTAATCTATTTTATCGGGAAAAGATGGGGGAAGTTCTGGCTGTTGGCACTACCGTCAACTTTTTTAAGACTTTTTTTTTTTTTTAGCGCTGCTGTACTAGACACTGTGTTGAGTACAACAACGTTTTTAGACTTCGTTGTAAGTACATACTTTTTTTGGCTTCCAGAAAAAAAAATGACAAATATATATGGTGCGATTATACTTTGAGCTATTTTAGACTGTTACAGGTTACACCTAGAGTGACATGATCAGTTCCCTTTTCTCAAAATCCCCCCCCCCCCTTTTCCCCAATCGATAATAATCATTCTCGGAGAATTTTGAAAAATGTATGGTACCCCTTTTTATGAGTCTATGTTAACAAATAATTTCTCCACCGAAATCTGAGCCATGACCACATTGCTACAGCAGCTCACACACACACGCCAAAAGGGAAAAGCTGACGGCAATCAGGTCAGAAGGTGAGTAATAAGTGGATAGAAAACATTAAGACTGAACTTTAGGACTAAGGAACTTTATTTTCAAAAGGGTAGGAATTGGACGCGCAAGCCGGTCGAGACAGCCGAACAGCGTTCCGTCTAGCAAACAATATTATCGGACAGAGAGGGAGAAGACAGACAGACTGATTAGACAGACTGACTAGACAGACTGATTAGACAGGCGGGCGGGCAGGCGGACGGACAGAGACAGACAGACAGACAGACAGACAGACAGACGGACGGACAGACAGACAGACAGACAGACAGACAGACAGACAGACAGACAGACAGACAGACAGACAGACAGACAGACAGACAGACAGACAGACAGACAGACAGACAGACAGACAGACAGACAGACAGACAGACAGACAGACAGACAGACAGACAGACAGACAGACAGACAGACAGACAGACAGACAGACAGACAGACAGACAGACAGACAGAGACAGACAGAGACAGACCGACCGACCGACCGACCGACCGACCGACCGACCGACCGACCGACCGACCGACCGACCGACCGACCGACCGACCGACCGACCGACCGACCGACCGACCGACCGACCGACCGACCGACCGACCGACCGACCGACCGACCGACCGACCGACCGACCGACCGACCGACCGACCGACCGACCGACCGACCGACCGACCGACAGACAGACAGACAGACAGACAGACAGACAGACAGACAGACAGATAGATAGATAGATAGATAGATAGATAGATAATTATAAAAGAGCCAATGCGGCAACTGTTTATAAACATATCTTGACTTATTAACTCTGATTTTAAAAGTTTTACTTACAGCTTATCACTCGCTTTCCCTTTGTTCTGGCTGGCTGCACGCTGGGCACTGCTAGTCCTGCTTGAGTGTATATGTTGGTTACTAAAGATTTCCTTCATGTCATTTCCATTGTAGTAGTAATCATGTCTGTGGCTGGCTGGTCTGTCTGGTTTAGCATAGTTGGCTGGCGATGAGATGTTCGACCCGTAGCCTAATAGGGCAGGCCCAAACAGGGCACTGTAGCAAGGATGGTGGCAGTATGGGCAGCCCTTATGCTGAAAGAGAACAATAATTTAGGCTGAAGATACTGGCATGGGTAGTAGTACTGCTACACTGGTAATAAAGTTACCAGTACGATGCCGGTAAGAAAAGCACAGGTACGTGTGTGCGTGTACGCGCCTGCGGTCGACATCCAAAACCCAACATAATCGTCACGACATGCAACAGTGCAGTGTTTTAATATCGGACCAGGCAGTGCGGATCTCACTTATAGTCAAACATTTTGACTTTAGTGCAAGGCGTAATTTCCATTTACTTCCATGGGTATCCCAGTGCTATGAAATTTCAGAGCCGATAATGCGAATTCTTTGAAATAGAAAGCCAATAATCCGGACTGGCTGATCTGACCACGTTTTACGGCACATTTAACTAGGTACAATGTTCGGCGCGCTAGTTAGGTTTGTTAAACCAGCTGTGTAGCAATCGGGTGATAAACTACTTGTGGTCCGAGCTCAGTCTCTTGTGTAGGCAGAAAAGCCACACATCTCCCAGATTTACAATATCTATCATAGAATTAAAGCCCAAGTGATGCGATATCATAGTACCGATCCAAAAGGGTTCATAACTCATGGTTTCTGCCCCCCCCCCCCCCCCCCAAAAAAAAATTTAGTACAGTTGATTCTAGGTAAGAAAGTAAATTTTACCCCACAGGACATCACACTGAGCGACAAACACCAGGTAACGCAAAGTTTCACAATGCGGATGAGGATCACCCCTGTACTGTAGAGGTCAGAAATCGCGTTCAACCGTCAGGCTATATTGCGGCCCCTGGCAACAGGCAGGGTGGGGCTTCAAAACACGAAAAATCGTATTCCACAACGGGGATGACAAAGACTGTAAGCAGCATTTTCTTTATTGAGCGCTGCTGCTATTTAAGGAAGGTGTGTTAGGATCACACTTGTAAAACTTACTATATGACAAATAATATGACAATATATTGTGCATATCATGAGGAGAAACTGACAGAGAATCACAAAACAGGCACTGAAATAGGAAACAAATGGACTGCAGAAAGAGGATATTAAAGAGACACGCCGAGACGAACGTTGTTCGCTGCACTAGACGCCATAAATGATATCGAGAGGATTAGACAATACATAGTGGAGAAAATAGGAAAAGCCCCTCCTCCCCTCCCCACACACACACACATCGCCAGATAGGAGAAAACCCACAGAGAACGGTAGAAAGTAATAGGAAGATATAAACGCAAGCAAAATTAATAAATCGAATCACAAAAAGAGAACAGCTATACATATAACCAACCTCTGCGTGTTGCCCAGGGGACAGAACTTTTCCACAAGCAATACACTTGAGACAGTTTGGGTGCCATTCCTTGCCTAGTGATGTTTTCCGCTCAGCTGATAAAGATTGCAAAACAAGAATCGTTTGGGGGTTTTTAGGGTTTTATAAAATATTATTGTATTTACAGTTATATAAAAGAAATGAAAGCGCATAGCTAAATTTTGTCTTTATTTCCACCAGCACCAAACACTTTTTCTTTCTTTCTTTCTTTCTTTCTTTCTTTCTTTCTTTCTTTCTTTCTTTCTTTCTTTCTTTCTTTCTTTCTTTCTTTCTTTCTTTCTTTCTTTCTCTTTCTTTATTTCCTTCTTTCTTTCTTTGTTTTCTTCTTTCGTCTTCTCCTCGTATTCGTTCATTCGCTTCTTCTTCTTCTTCCCCTGCTGCAACACCTATTCTTTCTTTCTTTATTTCTTTATTTCTTTATTTCTTTATTTCTTTATTTCTTTCTTTCTTTCTTTCTTTCTTTCTTTCTTTCTTTCTTTTTTTCTTTTTTTCTTTCTTTCTTTCTTTTTTCTTTCTTTTTTTTTCTTTCTTTCTTTCTTTCTTTCTTTCTTTCTTTCTTTCTTTCTTTCTTTCTTTCTTTCTTTCTTTCTTTCTTTCTTTCTTTCTTTCTTTCTTTCTTTCTTTCTTTCTTTCTTTCTTTCTTTCTTTCTTTCTTTCCTTCTTTCTTTCCTTCTTTCTTTCTTTCTTTCTTTCTTTTTTCTTCTTCTTCTTCTTCTGTTGCTGCTCTGCTGCTTGTTCATTTTCTTCTCAAATGTATTTGTTCGTTCATTAATTTCGTCTTCTTCTTGCTCTTCTTATTTTTCTTCGCCCTCATCCTCCCCCTTCCTTCTCCTTTCGTCTTCTTCAACCCGTATCCCAACACTAAAGCAGGGGCCTGCAACCGATAACGTCAATGTCCCCCTATGAGAAAGGGCCATAAAGGGGCCTAAACTTTGTTTAAGTGTGTAATTATAATGATAGCTACTTGTGATGATAATGACAGTGACGATGATAATGATGATGACGATGATGATGATGATGATTATGTACAAACAAATACATATAATAATATATTTGAAATAACAGAAAATATATAAACAAACACTTGAAAAATTAAATACATGGTTGGGAAGGGGTGACAAACAGCCCCCTAAAATTTCCTTGAGGGGTAGGAGGCTCAATTTACATAAGTATCTAGGTTCCGGCTCCCCTATTGTGGTGTATCTGTAAAGAAGCCGGGTATTGTTTATTATACCACTAAACCACCGAGTACACTTGTAGTTTCAGTGAGACACTGTCCTAATTAGGAGCTACAAGGTTAACTCTTTGAGTCTCATGGGTTTTAGCAACACAGACCCAGAGGGTAGTAAAAAGAGTCATAAAATCGGCGCATCTTGCGTTCATTTGGTTTCTAGGTAGGAACCTATGAACGTATGGTGCGTTCCTTGGGACTCAAATAGAGTTAAAGAGCAACTGCAGCCATTAGAGCTATCACCTCCCGTTTCCCGCCCTCCCAAAAACTGCTAATATCCGTCTGAGCACGTCACATTTATCTGTTCTGTGCTGTATTGTTTAAAATTAATTTTATAATTATTATTTAATTAAGTGATTTTGAGTATTCGTGTGGTTTCGTTTGGTTTATACAATGTGCTGAGGAAGGGTCTATAGCCGCAAATGCCCGGCTCTCTAGCGAAGTTGGTTAAACCTGACTTTCGCGGCGGCCGGGTGACGAACTCCTTGTGGTCCGGGTTCACTCCTGGGGGTAGGCAGAAAAGCCACATTTCTCCCAGATAAACGGTACCTATAATGGAATCAATGCCGAAGGGTTGCGATATCCATAGTACCGAGCCAAAGGGTTTACAACTCATGGTTTCTGGATACGTTAAAAAAAAAAAAAATAGCCGCAAATCCATTTTCCGTTTGTGTTTGTTATATTGTGAAGCTCGCTGGTCTACTTTTTGTTCGGTTTTATACCTTTTCATTTTATTATTGCCTGGTGCATTCTCATATTTCTTTCCTTCTCTTACTTCTGTCGATGCTGCTTAATACCTGGTAATTTATGTCTGTGTGATCTTTTCTTATTACAGGAAGAAGATGTCGAGGCCGACCTCTACTACTTTATAAAGATGTGTGCAAACGGGACATGAATGATACAGGTATTGATGCGGACTCATGGGAACAAAATGCCATAAACCGTGTTGTAGGAAAAGGGCATATCAGGAAGGGGATGAGACTAAAGAAAGAAATTATTGCAGAAAGGATGAGAGCTGAGCGTCTGAAAAGAAACGGATTAAACACAAATGTTGTTAACAATGGTCCTGAAATCCCATGCCATCATTGTGGAAGACTATTCTTGACACGGGCGGGTCTTGCTAGTCACACTCGCCATTGCCATGGGCTGTAAGCCTCATAGCGCAATATAACACTATCGTCTGGAAAGACGAAAAGGTGCCAATGAAATCAATCTTTTCTTAAAAGATGTAACAAATGTGATTACTAAACAACAGACTGAAGGGATTAAGGAGGCCAGGATACCCTAAAGAAACCCAAAGACAAACGTTGATGAGAGAGGCCAAAGCTGCTGGCCTAGATTCTATCCATGATATTGAACTGATTGTACAGAGTAGAACGGAATGGAGGAATATGACTGCGAGCCCTACGTGATATATAACGGCACAACAGGAGAATGAATGGATAGTAAGCTGACGCTCTGTCTGTCTGTCTGTCTGTCTGTCTGTCTGTCTGTCTGTCTGTCTGTCTGTCTGTCTGTCTTTTTTTTTTCTCTCTCTCTCTCTCTCTCTCTCTCTCTCTCTCTCTCTCTCTCTCTCTTTCTCAGTGTAAACTAGTAAAGTAAAAGTAAAGTAAAGAACCCTTTTCCACGTCTTTAGGCTATCGGGCATATAGGGCTAGACCTATATTTTTATAGAACATCGGCACAAGATGGGTGATGTGGTCAGCATCACGCGGGCCGCCTCTACTTCCCGGGACTGCACCCGGTACCCACTCAAGGCAGGGTCGACATGGCAGCCAAGGTCATTTTTGAAAAAAAAAAAGTCCAGCTCCTCCAGGGAGCGAACCCACGACCTTCCGATCCGCAGCGAGCGTCTAGCCGCTCCGCCACGGGGACTCCCAAGTATAAACTACTATATCGTAAATTGAATCTAGGTCACCATCAATGCCCTAATGTAAGAATTGTCTTCTAGCTTTTACTGTACACATATTTGGGGGTATGCTCCACTTTGATATACAAGGCATAGACATTTTCTGCGCAGTAGTGTGTACATAGGAATATAGGATTTACATTACTTTTCAACACCACTCTCCCTCTCTTGTATTCTCTCTCTCTCTCTCTCTCTCTCTCTCTCTCTCTCTCTCTCTCTCTCTCCCCGTCTCTCAATAAGCAACGCCAAGTGTGTTGTGACATCACAGGGTGTGTGCTCAGGACGTGTAGTCGCCGAGTAGCTCCCATTCTTTCAAGACCGGGAACAGATAAACAGATACTTACACTGTAACATTTGGCACGGGTGAACTATAATGATAACCTTATGGCAATTTTCGCCGTGGGGGCGAAGAGTGCAAGATCTTCACATAGAAACGGCGTTTAAAGTCAAGAGAATACACCGCATCGCACCTGGTTTTATGCCATATGGCAACTCACAGAACATGTTGAGAAAGATGAAAACAGGCATGCTTCGTGCATAGTGGCAATCATCACTTCAGACGGTCCCGGATAGTTAGCATCCTTTAGATATTTTCTCCAGGTATTGCTGGTGTGTTGGGAAACGAGCAGGCATATAGACTGGCTGGCTATGCACCATTTGGTGGTGAACTGATGTATGACAAATTATACTGTGAGGGCCCTCTGGAAGCGATTAAACAGTGCAGAGGCGCAGATAAATCATTACAGTCTAAGGAGAATGGCCCTGCGAGGAGTTACCAGGGGGTCTGGCCGACGCTCAAAACTCATGGAGGAATGAGACGGATATACAATCAGACAGTTACTGGTACCATCGGAATTGGAACTCTTCGCTTGCTGCTGAAGATAGGGACTGAACACTTATGGAAGTGACCGAGTGCTGTGATGTCAATACTCAATTCAAAATTCAACATTCAATCCCATATGGCAGTGCTATCTAAATAAGTTTATTCGGGGTCCAAAATATTGAAAATGGGATCGGCATGGGGCAGAGGATCGAACGCCAGCATGTAAAGATTATTAATACAATGCAGTTGGCAATGATCACAGGTTACTTGATAGGACTTCGCAGCTCGGACTCCGCCCGCGGGCTGCCATTTGAATTTCGTTATACTGTGAAGCTTGCTGATATACTTTTCGTTCGGTTTAATATCTTTTCTTGCTAGTTGAAAAGCACTGCCATTTGGCTTGGTCTATCTATATGGACAGTGGTGGCCAACTGGGACCGTTGCACAAAGCGTGACATTATGCAGCACTAACAACCCATTTCACGCATGTGGATCTCCGAAATGCCCGAACTCACAACGAAAGAGGTGGAAAACTAACCCACGACTTTTAAATCGAGAATCAAACGGTTTAATGCAAGGGTGGCGAAACTATGGTGTGTGGGCCAACACTGGCGCGCCGAACAATTTTTACTGGCCCGCAAGGCTGGTGTAAAATTACTGTATAATAATGGTATGCAGAAAGGAATAAATAGAAGGACTTTACTGGGTCTGTGTATCTGGTCAGAGGCCTAGCGAGGAATTATAACCTAAGACTATTCCACAACAATATCAGATTACGAGGAAATCTGGGTGTTGTGTTTATAATTGATTTTTTTCTTTCTTCTGCTTCTTCTGCTTTGCGTTCGGTTTCAAATGCTCAGATCAGACCATCAGGTGGGTTGCCTCTATAAACTCGCATGTCAGATGCAGATCCTGCATGGTTCCCCATAGCTTGCTCTGCACACTTTGCTCTTGAGGCCAGGTGTCTTTTCGAAGTTGCAGGTAGAGTGGGCAGGTCTGCAGAATGTGCTGAGGTGTTGGGGATAAGTATCGTGTCACTGGAACTGGCAAACCTTAATTTCCATTAGTACCACGACCCTGCCTGGTACGAATT